TTTTTTTTTTTCTTTTTCTTTTTTTGAGCACCATATTAGCATATTGAAAAGATTTATGAAGGAAAATGTGACACTGAATGTCTGGCTGCTGAAAATGTAGTAATATAACTGATATGATTTTCATTGCCGTTGACCTCTCTGTTTCTCTCTCTTTTTTTTTTGGTTTTAGGGATCTCAGTATGAACAACATCAGTGAGATTCAGCCCAACACTTTCCACAACCTGCACTTCCTCAGTGAACTGTAAGTACATTTGAACAGCATTTAAACCTGGACTGCCGTGTATTTCAACTGTGTTCAACTCTATGGTGTGACAAAACGGTGTACACAAAAATCCAGTTGATGAGTGGTTATTTATGTGAAGTGGTTCAGTGAAAGTTAAATTGGAGACTGACGTAATTCCAGATGTGTTATACAAGACCTAGATAGAAGTGTACCATAAAATCAGGAATAAATAAATTAATTAAATCATCAGGTTGCTGATAATGACCTAAGCATGCATTGTGTATTTGAGTGGCTGACGTAGTTGATTTGTTTTTATAAAAAATGTATTAATATTAAATTTATTACCCTATATTTTTTACCAAAATGACAATTAATTTAATGGAAATTGGATAACACTTTACAGTGAGATTCCATTTGTTAACATTACATTAGTTAACATGACCTAACAATGGATACTTCTAAATAATTTATTCATCTTAATTAAAGGTAATTTGAACATTTACTAATACATTATTAAAATCAAAAGTTGTCTCTGTTTATATTATTTATTAGACCTGAGCTAACATAAACTAACAATGAACAGTTGTATTTTAAGTAATATCAAAAAAAGATGGTTAAATACTGTAACAAACATATTATTAATTGTTAATGTTAGTTAATGCGTTATCCAACGGTAACTAATGGAACCTCATTGTAAAGTGTGACCGGAGATTGTATTTTTCCTTTTGGTTTGCAATAATTTCAGTTCACTAGTTCATTTTATCCTGCAAAAATCACTTTCTTATATATATATATAAAAAAAAATTTTTTTTTTTTTTTTAAACAGCAATATATATTTAAACAGCTAAACTTGTTAAAACAAGATTAATTTTAAATGTACCGAGGATTCAATTATTAAAATATTTATTTATTTATTGTCCCATTATTTCTTGTTTTAAGCATTGACCTCACTACATTTTGTTAAACTTATGATTTTTGTGCAGTTTTGCTTCTCGGGTAAATTTATGTTGTTTTAAAAATGTTTTTAATATTTTTACCAGAAAATAAAAAAGCAATGTAAATGTACATTTTTTAGAAGTACAAATATTCCATGTAGTTATTAATACAAGCTACTTATAAATGCATACATTTGCAAAACATAACAAATTAAAATACAAAAAAGGTACGTGGGAAAAAAAAAACTAAAATAGTTTCAGATGTAGTATGAAAGCTTGTTACATGGCAGGACTTACCCATTTATATTAGGTCTTTATCACACCAGTCTTTTATTTTTTGGTGAAAATTTTATTTTTTCACCTTCCTTTGCCCCGTCTCTGAGACAGACTCATGCAACACTGCACATGTCAGACAGAAATGTTTTGCTCAAAGCTCAAAGACATACAGACACATTAATTGTCTTTTAAATAGGAGGAGAAAATATTTGACTAATATTAATTACGAAAATTGGCCCAGGTTTTTGTATTATGTTAATAATTTTACATATGGCTGGATCTATGCAGTTCATGGTGATAATAATATGTTTTATGTTTGATTGTGAACTTTAGTTTTATACAATGTATTTTTTATGCACATATGGTTTTAATATATGATATACATTACCGTTCAGAACTTTGGGGTCAGTAAGAATTTATTTATTTATTTATGAAAGAAATTAATACTTTTTAATTTATGCTAAAATAATACTAAGACCCAGCAAAGATGCAGTAA